TAAATCATATCATCCGCGAAGCTTGGTCCATTTTCCTCTATTGTTGAGTATTTTGAGAGCTCTTTGGGACAAATTGAAGAGGGATTCAAGGAGGATTGATTGGAGGTAAGTTCCTTGGCCTAAATACACGAGATTATGATAAATTTAACATGGAAATTGGTTGAAATTCATCAAAAGGGGGTAAAGCTAGGGCTTGAGAATTGGTAATTTAAAAATGGAATTTGAAGGGTCAAATGGACTCCGATTTTGGTAAATTTGATATGTATAGACTCGTGGCGAGACGAGGAATCCGGTGATATGAATTTTGTAATTTTTCGAGAAGTGGGCCCGGGGCTCGAGTTTTGCCAACTTCGTGATTTTTGATAATTTTCGAGTCTTTTCGATTGGGTTATGTTCCCTTAGCCTATTTTAACGTATTCCTTGTGGTTTTGATCAGATTCGACGCGCGAGGAGGTCGATTCGAGGGGAAAAGGCTTAGCGAGCTAGACTTTTGGCCGGCTAGAGGTGGTAATGATTTTAAATGATGTCCTGAGGGTTTGAGACCCCGGATTTGCACAACTTGGTGCTATGTTGAGATGAGACACGCGTTCAATGACGAGAGCGGGGTCATTTACTATTGGGGATTGTGACTTGGTCCGTCCCGGTTGTTGATTTTACCGCGTATCTCACTATGACTTGTTATTTTTTTCACTATGACTTGGGCTTATTGCTATACTTGGGCTTATTGCCGACTGTTTGAGCTCCTTGTGAGCTATCATCACTGTTTTCCTCACTATTTGAAATATTATTTGAACTCAGTCCATTTGAATTACACTATTTCATGAACTCAGCTATGTTTTTACTCAACCTTGAGTTTTCAACTAATATTTGAACTATTATTTCAGCTGAGCGTTGTTGTTTTTACTGATGCCCGAGGGGCTATGACTATTTTTGGACTGATTGAGGCCGAGGGCCATATGTGAGGATATGTGAGGAGGCTTTCAGGCCTCGAGCGATATGTGAGGAGGCTTTCAGGCCTCGAGTGTATTGTGAGAAGGCTTTCAGGCCTCATATTGATATGTTCAGGCTTTCAGGCCTTATTATGATAGCGCTTACGCTGTAGGAGCCCCTCCGGGGTCTGCACACCCACAGTGAGCGCGGGTACCCATGTGATTTGAGAGTGAGCCCGAGGGGCTGATGTTGTACTGTGTGATTGATACTAAGCCCGCGGGGCTGATACTGTACTGAGAGTTTGATATTGCGCCGAGGGGCAGGTTTCTGAGCATTTCCACTGGTTGAGAATATTTTTTTAAACTGTTTTAAAAGAGAAATTCTTGCTATTTTACTGGTTTTACTGCTTGAGATAGCATTATTTGTGCCTTTATGGGATTTTATGTTCTCAATCATTATTTATTTTTATTACTTACTGGGTCAGAGTACTCACATTACTCCCTGCACCGTGTGTGCAGATACAGGCATAGCTGAGTTCGTTCCTGAGCGCTGATTTCCTTCCAGACTAGGCGGGCCCGGAGTGACGAGGTAGCTGTCGGCGTTCACAGCCCCGTTCTCTCCCTTATCTTCTGCATTTACATTATCTTCGGACTTGTTCCTAGTTCCAGACTTGTAGTATTTAGTGAACTCTATAGTAGCTCGTGACTTGTGACACCCCGATCGCGGGCTGAGTTGGGATGGTTCTCTGTTTTACTTCGTTTTATTCCGCACTTATGAGTACATTATCTATGTTTTAGACTTATTCATGCTAATTAACTGTTAAAATGAGGTGCTATTGTTCTGTTGGCTGGCCTTGTCTTCACGAGAGGCGCTATCACGATCGGGTAGGGAATTGGGTCGTGACAATTAAAAAAAACTCCATTGAAGGCTGAAGCTTTAAGTTTGAAGCCATATCTGAGATTTTGGGTTTGAAAGCACTCTTAGATTTAAGATTTGAGATTAATTTTGAAATGGGTGTTATTGGGTTTGCTTGAAAACATGATTGGGTGTTGTTCTAATTGATTGGAAACATCAAGAGGAGTTCAAAGCTTAAATTAGAAGTGATTTAGAGCAGATTTGAACTAGATTTAAGTCAAATTTCAGTAAAGGCTCAAGAAAGAAGAAGAAAACCTATGAAGCTCCATTGATAGGATTCAATTGTATAACAATGTATAATATTGTATAATAGTGTATATGGGTATGTAAACATCTCTTATACACTATTATTCCAAGTCGATAAATATGTATAAGTGTGTATAATTTTGTATAATTATGTGTATACCAGTGTATAAGAATGTAGAAAGGCGAAATTAAATTTTTGTATGTTTTCTTACCTTTTCTCGAGCTGGACAACCTCCTTTGTTTGTTTTTAACTTATTCTCTGTTTTGGGTTAAACTCTATTAGTGGCACCATTGAAGGAAAAAAAAATCTCTGTTCTCTGTTTTGGGTTAACTTATTCTTTGTTCTTCTACTTTTATATTCATATACTATATATTTAATAACTATTTAATTGAAATACAACAAATTCTCTGTCTCTGATAAAGGGGAAAAAGCTACCAATTTTTTTTTTCTTACGCTTTTTATATTTAAATATTTTTATTAATTGTCTCATAAAGTTAATAGTAAAACACTGATTTTGGTAGAAGATAAATACAGAAGCTCTCCTCAACAATAGGAATGTTGAATAGCATTGACGCAAGAACTGCTGGTTGCGTCAAAAAATGATGGGTTCTTCAGATTTGGGCCTATTGTCTTTGGGCCATAGATTTGTAAAATTATAATTAGGCTACTTAGTTGTAATGTGTGTGTAGGAGTTGTACTTATGTGAAATTCTCCCATATTATTATTCATAGTTTACAGAGAGAAATATGGGTTATGTGAACCCATACTCAACTTGGGTACGCCTCTGCCACTGCAAATTTTCTTGTGAATTTTTCAAAAAAAAAGAAAGAGAAGGAATAACCACTAAATTCTTTTTATAGCATATATTTTTGATGGCAGTTTGAAGAATATCTTAATTATTTCTCCTAGTACCTACACTTTTCCATCCGTGTTGCATAACTCAACCGCTAAAGATTTAATATATTATATGTTAAAAAAATTACCTAATATGTTTGTTCTTCTATATCGTGATTTTATTTATGTTTAGTTCTACCTTTGGTTAGATAATTTGCTAATTTTTTTTAGTTGGTAACTAACATTTTGCTAAATTAATAAGAATGTTATTTTAAATAACACATTGATGCTTGTATACAATCTCTTTATACATCAAAATTGTATATATAGGCTTTTCTGAAATGTCTTTAATGTTGCTTGCTTGCCTTTGAAGTTTGAAGTTGACGTTCTATTGGACCTTATCTCTAACTTTTCTTGGTGCACTAAAAAGTTCTAACACTGTATTTTTGTTTTATAATAATAAAAAAATATTCTACCATGTGATTATTGCGTTTAGTGTACTCACAACATTAGAAATTCAAGGAAAAAAATATAAAATTGATTGGTTGTGCGAAATTAGTTACATATGTTAATTAAAAGTGTATAAAATATGTGTATTATATATATTATCGACTATTATTTTTTGAAGTGATTATAAATATATATTCTACAAAAGATAGAAATTAAAATAATATTAATTTTTTTTTAAAAAAAGGTGCAACAGTAAAGCCATCGAATTGGGGAAAGGAAAAGGAGAATCTCGAAAAATAAATACATATGCTAATCACTCAAGAGCAAAAGCAGAGAAAAGATCGCAAACGTAAAAAATAAAAATAAAAATAATATGGCAAAACCTTGCCAGCAATAGGTAAATATAATACGGAATAGAAGAATAAATCAAACTGCTGAAAGCCTGAAATTACACACAAGAGTCTCAACATCAAGGGACAAACGAGTAAATTCACCAAGCACATCTGTTAAATATGGCCACGTGGGCTTTTGATATTCTTGAAAGCATGTGTTCGTTGTAATGACGAAATTAGCCTTGGTTTACTTAACAGTACCTCTCATATTTTTATACGAGGTACCTTAATTTCTTTCTTTTTTTCTCCTTTATTTATTTATTTATTTATTTATGAATTTCAAATTTCAGGTAGAGGTAAGTGGGAAAAAAGAAAGATCAGAGAAGTCGATTCATAACGGAAGAAGGTTGCAGATGATATTGATGACAAAAATAATTTTTAATTTTTGTTTATACTGCTCAGGAACATATCTAAGTAGCATACACACAATTTTTTTAAATCTTAACATATTTAAGGAAGTGAACAAATGAATAAATAACTATAACAATAATATTATTTTTTATATTTATTTTAAATTTTTTTCTTATACATATCTAGTAAAAAAAAATCGATAAAGTGGGATTCCGCAACACTGCATAGAACAAGGTATGTATCCATTCCCTGATGATTCGAATACAAAAAATCAAAAAAAGTGTATTCATATTCCGTTCTACAAAAATTACAGAAATTGATCAAAGTGATCTTCCTCAACAAAAAATTGAATAACTTTATATCACTTAATATTATCAATACGTATCGTATCTTGAAAAATATTTGCTATGTGGTACAAAATATTCGACCAGACAAGTGGCAGATGTAGTACTATACTATACTTGACTTACATGTAAGTTAGCTGATTTTCTTTTTCTCGAAAATAAGTACTACTTATATAATTTAGATAAAAAGATTTTTTATATCTACATAAAAAGTAATATTTGACTTATATACATTGCATAATTTTCTATATATACAATATAATTCTTATATGCATAATATAATTTTTCGGTAAAAAGTGTTCATCTGACCACGCTTGAGCCTATGTGGTACGACATTGATTTCCTACTGTTCAAAATAAAAATAATTGAACAAAGATAGGAATATATCTCTATCGTATTTATCCATATTATCCCACAAGAATAAATTCTTTTTGGCCCTTGGCAATTTACAAAAGAAAAAGGAAAAGATCCAAAATCATCAAATAATAGAGGAAATGAGAGAATCCCACTAAAGTATAACTTGTATAAATACCTATCATCCCCTCTTCAGTTACCTCAAGCCAGCCAAAAAAACAAACAAAACACTCATCTCAAACATCCATTTAAACATTAACCATGGCTTCAATGCAATGCTACAAAGAAGAAGGTAAGGAGTTTGATTACTATGAGAAATCCTCAGGCACTTACCAAAAACCAACTAACTACTCGAACTCGGGTTACCAACAATCTTACTACGAGAAAGAAAGGTGTTACGCAACCAACCCTGGAATGACGGGTTATGGTACTGGTTACGGCCATCAACATGGACTAGGTAACGGATATGGCAGCACTAACCCATGTGGGCCGATGATGGGCCATGGCACGGGCTACGGGTCGGGCCACAACACTCATGGAATGATGGGCTATGGCACGGGCCACAACACTCACATGCAGAAACCCGGGTTCGGTGGAATGGGCTCGGGCGCTTTGGGCCATGTTATGGGCTTTGGAAAGAAACATGAGGGACATCATGGACATGGTGGGTACGGAATGGGCTCTTCTGGTTGCACCACTTACAAGAAACAACACCGTAGGAGAAAGGGTGGTTACGGTAGCGGTAGTGGCAGCGACTGTAGCGACAGCAGCGGTGATGAACGTCGCTGCTAAATAACTACAGGTAACTATTCATGGTAAGTGAAACTAATTATCTGAAATATTAAACATACAATCTGTTGTAACAGGCTAAATTGAACTGATAGTGTAAAATTTCTTTTACGCAGATTTGGTAAGTAGCAGCTTGGCTTATGAGAAGGAAGAGAGTGAAGTTCCTAGTACTAACTAGGGAGTATATTATGACATTAATAAATAAGAAGCAGATTTTAGCCATGGCTAGCTATTGACTACTTAAGTTATGGACCTACTATATATGAAACTTGAGAATTTGTGTGTGTGTTGGCATATTATGTACTGATTATAATGTAACTGCTTATTCCCTTTGGAAATAAATCTATGAGAAAATAACCCCCAAAAAAGGTCTTAATGGTATGTACTATGTTTTCTGCATGATATAAAACCGCTATGAAATTCAATACTGTGTATGTAAATTTATCTTAGAATCGCCACGAGTGACTCACTAATTCAAGAGCGAAGTGAACTAGTAGTCACTTTTAAGCATGGTATTTAAAATATATAAGCTAAGAAAACCAAAAAAATTGCTAGAGTTAAAGATAAAGCAAATATGGGCTGAATAATTTATGATACTCCAATATAAATCTGAACGAATCACTGTTCAAAATCCGAAAAAATACTCCAATATAATATACTGGAATTCCAATATAATATGCTGGAACTCCAGTACCGGTCCAGCATCATATACTGAAACTTTCCGCGTGTTGGAGTTCCAGCATAATATGCTGGAAATCATAAACAGGTGTACCGTTCTCCAGTATATTATGCTGGAACTTTCCGTGTTGCAGCAAAATAGTGGCTATTTTTCAATGACTTTGCAAACGCTAGCTATTTTTGAATAACCAGTCCGAAAACTGGCTATCCCGTGCTATTTTTACCTCCAATACTTGTATTTACAGTTGCCACTACAAATCAAATTGATCAAACTATTTCCGGTTATAAATCACGAACTTAATACTAGTTAAGTTAAAATACATGAATAATGACTCGTACGATTCAAGTAAAAATATTAGTGTATATGAAGAACACCAAAATAGAAAACATAAATTAGTGCACAAAATTGAAAATCAAATAAAAAGAAATATCCTAGCAAAAGGACTAATCGCAATCTTGAATAGGTATAGGAAGAAATTAATCACTTTCCATTGAGGTAAAGGCAAGTCACGCATTTCAAGATAGGAGTAAAAGGGTAGCCCGGTGCACTAAGCTCCCACTATATGCGAGGTCCGGGAAAGGGCCAGACCACAAGGGTCTATTGTACACAGACTTAAACATTCCGAATTGGGGTCGGGGAAAGTATTCTTTAACTTAAGCATTCTAAATTGGAGTTTTTTTAAACAACTCTACCGTGCAAATCAATCAACAAATACAAACTCAGTCAATCAAGAATTCAAGATTCCTATTTATGGAAAAAGGATGCAGTAAAACAGATGAAGACGCCAACTTAATTATATGATAAATAATCGTATCATTACAAAAATATAAGCCGTCAAACTTTGAACAGCAGATGACTAATATGAGAGAAAACTGACGGGAAAATGAAAGGGGCAGACATCTGTTAATTTTCCTTCAAGTCATACCTTAGTTTTTCTGTGTATCAATAGAGAAATAGCAGTAAGGAAAATTGTAGCAGTTCATGAGAGAACACTGTTGCCGATGCAAGAATGGCATCACAGAAAAACATGCGGTGTACCACTATGTACTTGACCAAATAATCTTTAGAGATGCATAGACGACTTCCAACGTTGCCATTGATGACGCTAATAAGTTCTCAAACATTCAGAATATAGCAGGGATTCTTGCATTAGCAATACTTTATACAGCAATTACCTTGACTTGAACAGATTAGTCTTTTATATTGCTCTCATAAGCAAGCAACAGCAAGCTTTTTGCTTTGGCCGGGGAAGGAGGAGCACAAGCTAAGCTTGTGTGATACAATTCTAACACAGATTTTAAAATTAAACAAAAAGAAGTGACCAACGTCGTAATTTTGAGCAGGTCCAAGCGCACAGATGTTAATGATATATAAGCTGATGCTGAACAGTAGAAGGTGTTCACTAGGTATAAATTAGACAAGAAAAAATTGCAGAAACCAACCTGCTTGCCATGCAAGCCAGACATCACAAGTAGAAAAAACCCATCGTCGAACTTCATTGCCTTTTGAGTTATTTGTGTGGTATACAATATCTGCCATTCTGAAATAAAAATCAAAATACAAACTCATTGTAAGAAAATACACAAAGATGGAGAGAAAATGCAATCCGTGAGAAGTAATTTTTCAAACCCAGTAGTGGAAACATGATAGCCAGCTTTACTTGTATTATCATCTCAAGCCAGTTCATTTGACTAGAGCACGCCTTAAGAGAAGAAGGTACCAGTAAAGTACATTTCTAAAAGTAGTATGTGTTAGAGATCTGTTCAAATTATATTTCAGATAAACGGAAGTAGGACTTTTGTTAATATGTTATATTTCTAAACTTGAAACAAGAAAATTAATTACCATAAAATGCACAAAAAGTAACAGTTAGCCCAGAGGATGCAAAGGTACTTTCCTACCTTCTGTGCTTGACTTTGTCATATCAACGAACCTGGAGAAGATGATAACATAATTCATTCAATAAATTCTCAAAATAATGTGCCCTTACTCAGGTTCACACAGGATGATTGAAGAAGGTTATTGATAAGCTAGTTGCAGGAAACAAAATGCATTCATTAAAGGGAGACAAATCATAGATGCTGCAATGGAGGCTAACGAATACCTTGATTAGAGATTGAAACAGACAAGCTCAAAAGTAGTTTGCATACTAGATTTTATAAAAGCATAATTGAGCTTCTCTTTTCAGTATGTCGAAGAAGATGAGTTTTGGGAGAAAACGGGTTAATTAGAGCATGTATATCAACTATTTAAAATGCTATGTGGTCATTAATCCAGCTCTAAACACTTCTCTCCCCATAAAGAGGCTTGAGACATGGTGATTTTGTCACCATTTCTGTTCTTATCAGTAATGATAGCATTCAACTTAGTACTGAACAGAGCTTTAAATTACAACTGGTTATCCAGGTTTCCAGGCGGCTAATGCACCTAGTAATAGGGTGCAAAAACTTCATGCCATATACTTGGGCTGTCCTTTGGGGGCAAAGTTCAGAGATAAAAGCACGTGAAAAAAATTTTCATTGAGATATCTGAAAGAATATAAGTGTCTTGGATGGAATGCCAACTTACGCCCTCAGCATCAAAGAACATGTAATGGGATTGTTTAGGGTTGCCTCTTCAGATTACGCTCATTGGCAAGGAAAAGTATGCGTTAGAGCCTTGATGACGTGAGCACGTGATTTTTGCCTTATATATGAATTATTCCCAAAAATTCAAACAAAATAATTTTTCTTTTATTATTTTACACTTTTGTGAATTTTGTGTTATTTTCTGTTAATTGTTTGCATTTTATTTGTGCATTTTTATTCATATGAAAAAATATAAACATATACACATGACATTTGCATTTAGGATCTAATTTCATATTTTAGGATTATTTAGTGGTTAAGTTGTTTTAGAACAAAATTTAAAGAAAATAACAAAAATAGACCATTTTTGCATTTTTAATTGTTAATTGTTGAATTTGTCATGGGTTTGCTTTTAAATAGGATTTAATATATTTTTAGGAATTAATTAGTTTAATTTTGGAAACAAATTAGGTCTTTTGATTTTGCATTTTAATAAAGTTAGAAAAACATAAAAATACAAAATGAAAACAAATAATAAGTAAATAAAATACAAAAAGGAAAGAAGAAAAACAAATAAAAGGAATTGAAAATGAAATAAAGAAGTATCAGGCCGGTTGGTTTTGGGCTGTCTCTCAATCAGCCCAAATCAAAATCCCTCAAGACCCAGGTCAAATTGGCCCAAACCCAAATCACCCGGTCCTCGACGTCGTTTTTGACCCTTGAATTTTGGCCGTTCATCTCCCATCATCCAACGGCTCTCATCAGTTCAAAGTAATTAATAAAAGTGTTTGAATAATCTTATCAACCCTAGAGACAAAAGCCTCCATCCTCGTACCCTATTCAGCCCCACCGTTCGCCACAACTCCTCCGCCGTCGCCGCTGGCCGGAAATCGTCTCCGCCGGCGGCGCAACCCCAATAGACCCCAAAAATACACCATAGACTCGTCTTCCCCTCCTCTTTCCAACCACCAAAGAAATTTCTTTCAATTCTTAGCCCATCTTCTCGAATATCAGATCAAAAATCCGGCCAAAACGCAAGGTCATCCAAATCCGACCAAATTTACACCCCTAATCTCCTCAACTCCCTCAACCCAAATCCACAACCATTTTCCCTCAAATATCAGTTGAATGTTTCGATTTCAAATCGAAAAATTCCGGCCGAAACCTAATTTCTCCAAACTTCACCAAATCGATACCATATGGCCTCCTGACTCCCCTCAAGAAGAATTCACCGTCATTGATGTTCAAGTCACGCCCAAGACACTCAAATTTTGAATCAAAGAGACGGTATGAATGTTCGAGTCAAGTCGTGAGTCCTCTTTTTCGTCTTTTTTATGTCCCTTTCTCTTCTTTTGATTAAGCAATAAGTGCCTCTCCTAATTTTCTGATTAGTTTAAACTTTTGCTTCTGTTTAATTTCAGTGATGATTTGATTTTTTTTAGAAAGTCTGATTGTGTTTNCAGAACCCTAGAGTCACAATCAGTGAGTTGGTTTCAATTTTGTTTCTGTTTTCTTCTCTTCTTGTGTTGTTTTAAAGTAACTCCATGATTGTTCTCGCTCCATGATTAGTTATAACATGAATTTGTTTTTCAAATTTGTCATTAGTTTAGGAATAGGTTTTTATGCTTAGTTTAAGTCCTTATTGATTGTTCGTCAGTAGGGTTTCAGTTTATTCATGTTAATTGATGCAGTGTCAATTTGTTATCTTTGTTCTGTGGATCTGATTGGGTAATTCATACCAACTTTAGGATTTCAATTTGAGTTTTTTTCTGATTCGCTTCGATCTGATTTGGTTTGAGTGTGAATTTGATGATTGAAGCAATTTTGTTCTTTTAAGTTTTGGGTTTGATATTAATCTGATTCTGGTTAACTCTAGTTTAATGTTTAGTGTTAATTAGAAGCTGTTTGATTAATTAGTTCGATTATTAAATCTTCTTAACTGGTACTGCTTGGTTATAACTGATGATCTTTAAGTAGGGTAATGGATTAGTTTAGTCTAGTAAATTTCAGACTAGTAGAAGGGTAGTTTAGGGAATTTCATTCAGGGAATCTAGCAATAACTGAAATAGAACTTCCTAGAAGCTTCTAGATGGGGGTTCTATGGCAAAAATCGGGAATTAGGTGTACTTGCTTGAGAAACAAGTCAATAAGTAAAGGACTATTTTTGAAAATAACCTAGGG